TTTTTTTTTTTTTTTTAAATGAAAATTCAAAATCTATATTAATTTTATAAATTTATAGAGTCCATAATTATTTAACCGATTACAAAATGTCATATTTATAAAATAGAATATATTGGGACGAGGAAGCAATCCCAAAATTAATGTAACTCTTGCAATAAACTTGATTTAAAAATTGATCATAATTTGGAAATAAACATTCTTTTGCAATCATTGACTATAACGAAAAAAAAAAAATCATATCCTGAATACTCAAACATTGTGAAATCTTAATATTTTTAAAAATATGCGTTTAAAAAATTATTAAAAATTTTCTTGACAAATACACAATCACTATAATTTTATATTTACATATATAAATTGTCTAAACAATAAAAGATTAGGGGGATTCTTGCAAGGCTTTGCGTGAAAACAGATAAGTTCAAGATATGTATTCTAAAAATCATGAAGACTATATTTACAAGAATTCTATTTTGTTTCCAATGTCATATTATGTTTTCGGAATTAATAAATTAATCAAAATAATTTATACTCAAAAATCTTGAAATATAATTTTCCAAAACATGCTTTTATATTTGTTTAAATATTTTTAAATTAATTACATAAATGAATAATATTAATTTATATTAAAAATTTATCATTATATATATATATATATATATATATATATATATAAAGAATACTACTTTTGTAAGTGTTGTAAATAATAATAATATGATATTATATGACAATAAATTTTAGAAATAAATAATAGTTGAGTATTATGATGAATAGAAATAGGTAAAATTACAATTTTTTATATCAAAAAATAAATATAGATGTTAAAATAGTATTTATATTAATAAAAATAGTTAGTGAGATAATATATTGTTAAGATATATTAAAATATTTTTTTTTAAAAAAATGTTTTTAGAAACAAGCTCGCCGTGCATAGCACGGGATACTCACTAGTTTTCAATAATATATTATAAGATTTTTCCTCATTTTTGTTCGGACTCTTTATTGTTGTCGTATATATAATATCTATTTCACATTTTAATATCCTTCTATTTTTAAAAATTTCAAATTAAATATGTTGACAACGCACGGGTCCCGACTAATTTCAAACAAAATACATTATTCACTCGTACGCATATTCTTTAACTATCAAGTATTTATAATAACTATTTTACTATTTTTACATTAACCACAACTTAAATCATTGTAACTTTTACCCATTCATGAACTCAAAATGAAACTCAAAAATCTCTTTCCAATCTAACATTAAAATCAATCTTAAACCACTTTATTTAATAAATCAAATTCAATAAAAAAAATATAACAAAAAAAAGGAAAAAAATTGTGATTTGTGAACACATCCAAACGGGCCATATATGAAGTTCAAATATATGTCAACACTTGCACGTATACCTACCTCGTGTGATCCGATTCATGTTCCCTAAACTCCTCTGCCTACCTTTGACTTATAAAGCCTATACCCACTGTAATCTTTCACACTATCATGTGGATTCTAAATAGTATCAAATTCAGTTTGAGTGTAAACTTTCACATCTTTGAATAATATTTTTATTTTCAAATTGCATATATATATTGTAATCTTTATGAATTTATATATCTAATATCTTTATCAATAGGTTTTCTTAGGTTGATCTAATTATTAAGCTTACACCTTTTTTTTTTTAACAAATATATATATTTTCCTGAAAATATTTTATTTTTTAAAAAGTAACAAAAACTAAAGTAGTTAACATAAGGAAATGCTAAGGGAATCATCCCATCGAGTTTGTACTTATTAGATCATCATGTAATCGTCAGATATATTTGATGTAACGATTACAAATTTCCGACGTAATAGTTCTGTAACGGAACCATAACATCTCCCTATAACATATGACTGTATATGTATTCATCTTTT